AACCACACAGGCCCTCTCATGGCACTTTTGAATACCCAGCATGTTTCTGCCTCAGGACCTTTGCATGGGATGTTCCCTCTGCCCGGAATGCCCTTCTCCCAGGTCCCCCCATGACTCCTACCTCATCTCCTCAGGTCTTTAACCAAGTACTACCTTCTCAGAAAGGCCTTCCCTGACCTCCCCTATCTAAAATGCAGCCATCACCATGCCCTCCTCTGTCTTCCTTAATTTTCTCCCATGGTACTTAACATTATCTGACATTGTGTATCTTTCATTTGTCTGATTTCTTGTCTGCCTTCCCTATTAAAATGTCAGCCTCATGAACAGAGAATCTTATCTGCCTTGTTCACCACTAAGTCCCCACATCCAGAACAGTGCCTGGTGCACAGTAGGTGCTCAATAAATGTTTGTTGACTGACTGGTCCCCCTGCCCAAAGACAGCAGTTGGAATGAATCCTTGCCCCATCCTCCCAGGCCAATGCTGAGACCTCTTTATCTTGCTTTTCATTTGGATGAGGGTGTGGAACAGGAGGGGTCTCAGACATTGCCTAAGATGAGGGTATTGGGAGTCTCCAAGAGGGCCAGGAACACAAAGAACTTCACTGACCCACCCTTCAATATCAAGGTCTGCCATTCATTCCCTAGCACCCTCCTCACTTTTCAGAGCTAATTCCATCATGCTTTCTGTGTTACATCACCCACTAGAGCGAGTGTGCCCATGAGAGGCCTCCTAATCTTGTTTGAGGGGCCCTAGGTCATCCGCAAGGCCCAGCACTGCCCCATACTAAGAACATGTAAGGGGCACTCTGTGAGTATGAAATGTATGGAATGAATACATGAACTGGATAATGAAATGACCTGAAAGGAGGATGCATCCTCTGTGTGTGTGTGTGTGTGTGTGTGTGTGTGTGTGTGTGTACTGGTTTCCTTGAGTCCAGAAACTTGTTTCTCCTACTCTCCTACCCCCCACCCCCAGAACACCCTCCCTCCTCCCTCCTGCAGAACCTAAGGAGCCTGAGATAGGGCACTGGGAACCAGGGAGCTCAGCCTGAGGCAAAGGATTCAGAGCAATGGGGATAGGGGAGGCTGGAGGAGCACAGCACCTGGGATGATCAGTGTAGGGGGACCAGGCAGTGGGAGAACACTTGGAGGGCACAGCGAGAGCCAGAAGGCACGGGTGAACAGAGTGGTGTCTGAGGTTGCAGTGCCAGAGGTGAGAGCTGTACAGCAATATAACGTCCCCAAGACACAGGGTATCAGAACAGGGGGTGTCCTAGGCGCAGAACATCCGGGGTGTGGGGATTTCCTGACACCGGGTGCACAAGTGGTGGACTGGACATGGGTGTCCAAAGCGCAGGGCACAATGAGTGGGGGTCTGGAGACACAAGGTGGGGTGAGTGAAAGGAGGAGCGCCAGAGAGCAGATAGCAAGGATTCCGGGGCGGGGCGCGGTTATCAACCTGCGAGGTGAGGGATACTGGGCGCCGGGACGAAACTGCGCGCGCACCACCGAAGCACTAGTTCCAGCAGCACAGCTGCTGGTGTGGCTTCCACTGCGCCTGCGCAGCCGAGGGTCTGGGGGCGGAGACTGCCGCGGCTCTTTGGCACCCCAGCCTCTCCCCATCCTTCACCTCCTGCGCCGCTGGCCCACGAGGCCAGAGACCGTGATGGAATGGAGACAGGTGAACCGACCCCATCTAGACCAGGGGCGGTGCACCGACAATGGGCACTGGGAGAAAGAGGGGAGGGGAAGAGGTCCTGGCCAGGATTTTTCCAAACTGAGCCGGGGGTTCCTTAAAGCATGTCATCTCTTCCCTTCATATAAATAACGACCACCCCCTTCTTGTAGCCTCTGGAGAATGCAAGATAGAATCACCTTCTAGGCAAACTCATGGGTTCCTAGGGTCCGCAGTGGGAGGTGGATAAGCTGAGCAGAAACAGAGGGTGGGGTCATTGGAGGAGGCTGGGAGCCCCAGGGCTCTGGGGTTGCCCAGGTCCCCCTCTCCCTTTCAGTCCTGCTGGGTTTATAGAAACCTGGCTGGCTGGATGTGGGGGTGTCCTGGTTGCCCTAAAGTACTGTAGCCAGTCTCCAGCATCCCCAAATCTTCCAGGTGCTGGTGATATATCTCAAAGTGGGAAACTGAGGTGCCCTCACCCCACCCCCATAATAGATAGATTTGCAGCCAAACACAGATGTATGGGATCGGTTTCTGCACGCATCAACCTCTGCTTCATTCGCATTTGGTTCTTCAGATCCAGCTGTCTGGCCTGGCCACCCAGAATCAAAGCTGGAGCTCTGGAGCTGCGGAGTCCTGCCCATGAAGGGAGCATGAAGGTGGCCCACCTACATCCTCCATTTCGAAGTTTGGGGCACAGTTGTGTCTCAGGTTCCAGGCTATGAGAATCCTGCCCAGTCCTGAAATGAAGGCTGTCATAAAAGAGGGTGGAAGGTGGGGGTTGCCGCAGAAGTTACCCCTGGTCACCCAGCCACCCTGCAACTCTTTCCCTAAGTTCAACCACCAGGACGTGCTTCTCAGAAGGGATTCTTAGAGGCCACGTTAATAAACTTAGGCTTTCTTAGATACTAATAGTTCCCATGCAATTCTGCCTCAAGTTTTGTGTATTTGCTATCCAACCCCTCCCACTGCCTTTTCCACACACTTTCCCTATATACCTCACCTGCGGAACCAAGGTTGGTTGGCAATGCATTCTCTTCTCTGGAGACAAAGACTGGGTTTGCCACCATCCCCATCCTTAACTCACCCCCTTCCTCTATAATTCATATCTGGACTTATCTGCCCTACTCTTCCTCACAAGCCATTAATGCCCACTCTGGGTCCACCAAGATTCAGCTCCTACTTTGGACTTTGCTTTACTTTTTAGGCCTGACTTGGATGGACTCTTCCCCAAGGATCAAAGCTAGGGATTTGCTCCTCCCCATCCATCAATCTTAAGAGTTGCACCCATCTTTCATAAAATGGAACCAGCAGCTAGGTTTCCAAGTCTGGTCTGGATAGATCCTCACTGGGTCTTACTGCTCAGGACTTTCCCCTACTCCCCTCTCCAGGATTCTTCTCCCTTCCAATTTTCTCCCAGCCCCCACCCTGCACTGAGTTGTCTATTCTGCTGAAGTGCTTATTTTTGGCCTGGGGCCCGATTTTATAGCCCGGACTCTGGGTCTTGGCAGTCACTGCTGTGGCTCCAGGGATCCAAATCAGGTCGGACTGAACCAGCGGGGCTCCCTCTGCAGCCTCAGCCTGAAACGTGCCCCTCAGATGCCTAGGACCCCGCCGGTTCCTTTCCTTACTTCTTCAAGTCCACTAGCTGCAGTGTAGTTGCTAGGCTTTGCAAATCCGTACCGGGTTTTAGCTCTTGTCAAGAACCTAAAATTCACTTTTTTCTCTCGTCATTCGCGCCCCCCACTCCCCCCACCTCCGCCCCAAGTGAGACGTTAGAGGCGTTTCTAGATACTAACCTCTCCCTAACACTCCCTCCCCTCCGCTCCTGACGCTCGGTCAGCTCTGAGCCCTTGTCCAGTTGCCCGGGTTCTTCTGCTGGGGTTTTGTCCCGTCCGGGCGACTCCGGTCCTGGCTTTACGGACTTTCCTCGCCTTTTATTGTAGGTCTGGTGTCCCAGGGTGGCAGCCTCTACGACGCTCGCCCGGCGCATCGCCCCTGGATCCTGAAACCGCTTTTCCCTTCCCGCTCCGGTGCAGCCAGCGCTCCAGGTCTCCTCTTGCCAGAGTCCAGCCCTCCTTTTGCCCCACCCCCTTGCACGTCGCAGCCAAAAAGATGGGGGTAGCATACGCCTCCTCAGCAACCAAGCAGCCTCCTGCTGGAGCCCCCTGCTAGCCTAGGTCCGGGAACATAAGACCGGGTCTTACTTGTTTCCACTGCATTAGGCATGACGCATTACTCCGTCTCCCGAGGAAGGATCCAGCCCCAAATTTGCGTACCCCGCGTGCATCTGGCCATGTCGCAGCTCCCCATCTCCCCATTCCTCCCGTTTCTGCCTAATCCTACCCGGGTTTTGCATACCCTTTCCAGATCGCTCCATTTCTCCCCTCTCTAGGCTCTTCGCCTCTCCTTTACTATCCTGCCGGCAGAATCCGCTCCAGGTCTTACTTGCGCCTTTCTCCCCCCCTCAGCGTTCCAACGCTGAGATCCAGCAACTCGCTTTTCCTCTCACCGCTTTCCCAGGGGGGCCGGAGGAGGCGAAAGGGAGAAAACTCCAGCCCGGGTTTTGGGGCCGGCCCGCGGTGCGTTCGGGGAGGTTGCGGTGGCCGGTCCCGGGCGGTGACGCCGGGCCGGGTTTTGCGTGTTCCCGCTGTCCCCCTCCCGGAGCTGGTGCGCCGGGGAGCGGGGCGAACAGGCGGCTTGTCATTGCTGGTGCCCGGCGCCGGCTCGGTCCGCGCGTCCTGCGGTGCCCACGGGCCTGGCCCGGCGCCCCTCCTCCGGCCGCCCCGGGGGCGCGACGCCGCCGCGCCAGCTTCCAGCCGCGCCCCCGCCAGACTCCGCGCCGTTCGCTCCCCCACCCGAGCCCCCCACGGCCACTGCGGGGAGCCCGAGCCGTCGGCGCGGGAGCTGTTGGCGCTGCGGCGCCCCCGCCCCGCCGTCTGCCGAGGAGGCCCCGGCGGATGGGGCTGCGCGGGTCCCGAAGCTGCGCCGCCGGGCGGCGGGGGGCTGCAGGGGCGCCCCTGCTGCCCCGCTAACCCCTCGGCCGCTGCCGTCCGGGGGGGCTGGGAAGTCTCCTGGGCGCACACGTGCCACCTCCGTCGGGGCCGCGGAGCTGCGGGGGAGATGCAGGCCGCGGCCGGCGCCGCCTCGGGGGGCTCCGCCTCGCCCCAGCCCCCGGAGCTCTGACACCGCCCCCGCCCCGCCGCCTTAGCCGCCTCCCTCCCCGGGAGGGGCGCAGAGCCATTCGCCCCCAGCCCCGAGCCGCCGCCGCCGCCGCCGCCGCCGCGAGGAGGCCGCCTTTGGAGCTGTGTGATCCGCCTTTTTTTTTTTTTGGTTGGTGGCGGCGGTGCTGGGCCAAAGGAAGGAGGGGACACGGAGGCCGCCCTCGCTCCGCTACCCCTCACCCGTTTCCTTCCCGTCCCGATTCCGGGAGATGTGCCGGGCGGGGGGCCCGGGTACGCGGAGCCGCAGGAGAGACTCACAGGGCCCAGCTCAGAGCGGCGCTGGACAGGTGAGTATCTGTGGGCACAAGACGAGGGAGACTGCACCTGGGCCAGGTGTGCGGGCCAAGAGGGAGAGGATGGGAACCTGTGTCTGGCTGGGCCGCGAAGGGGGAGGGGATGCTGGAGCCGCGGGTCATCGCATGAGAGCAGGAGGGGAGTCAGGAGCTGCTGGCACCTCACCCCCAGGCCGGGAAGACGGCCCCCACGGAGCGCCCGGCGATCAGGGGTGCGGATGGGCGGCCGCGGGGACCCTGCGGGGGGAGGGGACCGTGAATGTGCCCGCGCGTGGCTTCGTGTGCCCGCGCGCGCACCAGCCTTTGTGGGGAAGCGGCGCGGCGGTGCCTGCGTGTCCCCGGTGCGTGTGCGCGCGGGTGCTTGGCGCCCTGTTTGTGTAGGTGTCTGGGTGTGAGCCGGGAGGGTGCGTGTGCACGCCGCGCGCGAGACCCAGGCCTCCGAGGAGCCTTGTCGGGGGCTGGCACCGCAGGATGCTGGGCTGGGGTTGTTTTTCTTTGGGAAGCGGAGGCGCGGGGTATAGGGAGGGGTCTGTCTGGGCGCCGCTGTCAGGAGGAGTGCTGCAGCCCGGCAGCATCTTCTTTCCGTGGTACTCGGTTAAGAATGGGAAGCTGTCAGAATTGATCTACTAGGATTCGAGCTTTGAGGACGAGCCCTCCCCCTGCACCAGGTGTTGGGGGTTTTCACTGCCATCCTCCCGTCTGAGGGTCCTGGGACAGGAGTCTGAGCCAGAAGAGGTTGGGGAGTGCTGTGTGTGCTCCAGCCATGGCCAGAAAATGCCCCCCAGTGCACCCCTGGCTCCCATCTAAAGACAGCACCCTGCCTGTACACGGCCTCTTCGCGTATCCCAGTACCAACTCTTTCAGTCTAGGTCAGCACCCAGCCCCATCCCTACCCAGCACCTCACTGTACCTTACTGGTCCGCCCCATTCCCCCTAGTCGTGGCAGCTGCGTGGGTGTCTTTCCATCCCAGTCTTGAGGCAGGGCCCCCTTTCTTTCTGGCTTCTGCAGGACCCTGAGCCTGGGTTTTTCTGCCTATATCCAAACATGTGGTGTGCCTAGGGGAGTAGGGGGAGGGGTTCAAAATGGCTGCCAAGATGGCTGGTGCCTCCCTCTCTCTCTCTCTCTCTCTCTCTTTTTCTCTCTCTCTCTCTCTTTCTCTACCTCTATCTATACCGCTATCTCTATCTCTATTTCTACCTCTCTTGGCTTGCTCTGTATCCTTAGCTGCAAGGGGAGTCACTGTCAAAAGGTGGTTGGACAATGTGGGTACAGGTGTGTGGGACACCTGAGTGTGGATGTCTGCTCTGGGCCTGTTGACCTCAAATACTGCTTGGAGAGAGACCTTTGGACTCTTCCCTCTTGGGCAGCCCAGGGGCTGGCCTGAGCTTGTAACCTGACCCCAGACTCAACCTCTTCACCCAGGCCAACAGCCTGGGGCTGGCTTCCTGCCATTCACCAGGTCTCCTAGGCCTGACACCCAGAATTGATCACCCTGAATTGGTCAGGGTGCTCCACAGAGTGTCCCCATTTGTCATCCTCTCTGCCTGCCCAGTGGCCAGGGGCTAAGGACTCTGGGTGGGCCTGGGTCAGGCCCCAGCTGACTTCTCTTTCCTCGCCACTCCCTTCTTACTAATGTTGAATTTATTACTTAAAAGTGGGATGAAAAGGGGGAGAATAAGAGAAGGAATACAACCTTCATTATCATATCGAGAAAATTATCCATGATTTTCCTAACTAGCAATTTGCCTGCCATGCTGTTCAGAACTGACTTGCCCATTAATTACAGAGATGAAAAATCATCTGGAAAGAGGAAAAGGGAACTAATTCGATCCCTGGCTGGCAGTAATCGCACCCATGCTCTGAACCACATGTGCACATGCACATGTGAGTGCCAGCCCTCTTGCTGGCATCACCACCTTCCTCTTCCTCAGTGACCTTCTGCAGGGCCTCAGCCCACCCTATGCTTGTCACTCCTGGTCTCTGATGCCCTGCTAGGCCTGCCCTCCCTCCACTGGGCGCTGGTCCCAACCCCCACTCGTGGGGAGTTGTCTTAGGGCTTGATCACTGATGGGTGCACTGATGCCTGCCCTTGGATGTGGAGATGGCGCCCAGGGTGGGGGAGGGTAGGGAGCTGGGGACCAGTGCAGCTGGGCTGTGGGCCCTGTAGGGAGGAGGTGGAAAGCAGGAGACTCAAAGCCTAGTTCTATTCCCAGCCTGCCCTAGGGAACCCCTTCTCTGGGGGGGCACCCAAGGAGGACCCTGTGGTTATGTGGGGGAGGGGCTGGCAAGTGCCTGGGCTGCTCCTGAGACTGTTTGCATCAAGGTCTGGGCTCCAGGATAGTGGACCTGCATACAGGGATTTGTGCCATCTACATGTCTGTCCTCCCTGTGTCCCCCAGGCTGGAGGGAGATGGTGTGGGGCTTCAGCCCCAGTGTAGGCATCTGGGGTCGGGTTTCAGATCCCAAGAGGTTGTGCTGCTAGGTCCTGGAGTGGGTACCCCTAATGGGGAAAAGGAGTGGGATCCCTGCCACCCCTGTCCGACTGCGGGCTCCATAGTGGTCTCTGCCCTGTTACCTCTCCAGTCAGACGGGTGGCCAAGGACACGGAAGGCTCTGGTTTCTGTGTGGGCTCCTCTCAAGAATCCGATTTCCAGATGCCAGACACTTCCCCTCCTCCAGGCCTCTCTGTGGGGAGGCAAAAGGAGGGGCTCCCTAGGTGGGGGTTCCCTGGGTCTGGAACCAGGTCCTGACTACAGTGACCCTGAAGGTGCATGCTTGAGCCATGGCCCTTTCTGGACTAGGTCTTGGCCACCCTAATGAAAGAGAAAAGTGGGGTCCAAAGGTGGGGGAAATCTAGTATTGTCATTGTCTGTCTTTCTGCACCTGTTCTGTGAATGATTTGGATGGTGACCTGGCTGAGCCAGCAAGGGACCACATGTCATCAAGTTGGTCCTACGTTCATAGGAGTCTCCTATGTGCTGGTGTTTGTGAATTTTGCAGAGGGGCTGGCCCTGTGTTTGTGTGTGTGTAGCTCCACGTGTGAGCTGCTGTGTGTATTCTGTGTGCACCTGCAGGTGTGTACCCAGGTGTGTGTATAAGGGGCTCCTTGGAATGAGGCCAGGTCACCTCTTCATGCATTTGCCAAGTGCCTTCTCTACTAGGTGCCATGCTGGGAATGCCATGGGGACAGTGCCCTGGTTCTGTCCTCATGGATCTCACAGTCTAGTGACACATAAGTGATTTCAGTCAAGGGCTCACATCATAGGAGTTGGGGAGAAGGCTTGTATCTCCCCCTTCAGAGCGACCAGGGTCCCAGCTGGGGAAGAACAGCCCCAGACTTGGAAGGCAGCAGGCCCTGCATTCCAGCACTGTAACAGTCCCAGACATAGGGAGTCCTGGGGTCCAAATTCTTTTTCCTTGCCCTCTCTCTCATTGCTGTTCCTCCAACATGCAAAGCATGATTCTACTCCAGGACCTTTGCACTGGCTGTCCTTCCACCTGGGACCTCACCCAGATATCTGAAAAGCTTTTGCTTGCTCACCTGTTTTAACTGTCACCTCCCTAGTAAGTTTTACCTCATGCAGCCTGTTTAAAATTGGAGCCTTTTACTCGCCTCCTGACTTTCCATAACACTGATGGCTTGTCGCACTCTGTAATTTCTTGATTTATTCCGCCTGTTTGTTTATTGCTTGTCTCCCTGACCAGGATCCATATGCTCAAGAAATTTATTTGGTTTGCTTTTGGATCTCAGGTGCCTAGACTCATACCTGGCCCACAGTAGGTGTTCAAGAAATCTTATCTGAGTTAATATGAGGGGGCCTGGCCTCATATTGGACCAGAGACCTCAGGGTGACTCCCATGGTCATGAATAGCTAGGGCTTCCCATTGCCCTGGACCCCTTGGGGGAATTGGAGGCTGCCTGCCAGAGGCCAGGCTAGACCAGCTCTGCACCTGTCCTCTGGCACACCTGGGCAGACTGTCTCTGAGGTAGCCTCATGGTATTTGTGGGTAAGGGTGTCTGAGTGGGCAGGTGGCTTTCCTGTGGGCTGTATGTGCTATAGAGTTTAGAGCTCAGAGGAGAAATGTGGGGCCCCTGCCCTTGCCAGAGATAGGAGCCCCAAGGTCAAAGCCTGAGCAGCCCCTCCTCTACCTCTTCCTGGGGCACTGACCCACCTTGTCTCTCATGAAATGGGACCTATTTTTTGTTTTTGTTTTTTATTGATTTTAGAAAGAGAGGAAGGGAGAGGAAGAGAGAGATAGATACATCGATGAGAGAGAACACTGATTCGCCGCCTCCTGCATGCCCCCACTGGGGATGGGGCCCACATCCTGGGCATGTGCCCTTACTGGGAATCGAATCAGCAACCTCTTGGTGCATGGGTCAACCATCAACCAGTGAGCCACACCGGCTGGGTGGGACCTATTTTTTTGGTCTGCCCTGGCCCTGGGGAACTAGCCAAGTAGAGGCCCCATGCCACACTCCAAATCCAAAATTTGGGGAAATAAAAATTTTAATAAATAGATGCTGAAGCTAAAAATAGCCAGTGCCCCTCCTCAGAGGCTAAAGATACCCAGGAAGTCAGGTGGGGCCCCTGTCTGCTGTTGGGGAGGTGGTACAGACAGGTGAGGTGGTACAGGCAGGTGAGGGGCCCACGGCAGAGTCTCAGCCAAGGCAGTCCTGACATTGGGGTCACATCATTCTTTGTGGGGGCTGTCCTTGTCTTCTCCCATTAAATACCAGTAGCATACCCCCCCACACACACACACTAGTGGTCACACCTAAAAATGTCTCCAGACATTGTCATGTGGCTGAGGTTGGGGGCAAAATTGGTCCTCCCTCCCCCACACATCTCCACCTCCACCCTGGGTTAAGAAGCACAGCTCTAGATCATGGATTTGCAGACTTTCTCCATGAAGAGCCATATAGTAAGTATTGGAGACTTTGTGGGCCACTTACCAACTCTTGCGTATTCTTCCTCTGCCTCTTCTCAAC